ACATTGGCATGACATGTGTTGTAGGAGCCGGTGAGAGCTCGGATTGAGTTGTATGAGTGAGTTTTATCTCATTTCATGGCATGACATAGTAAATTCCAAAATTGAGTTGCATATTCTTGATTGGAATTATTGTAGATGGTTAATTGTTGCATGTAAACATTTCATATCCATCTAGATTGGAGAGTAGTCTCTTTAGAAGATACCCTATTGAGCATGACTCACCCTTCGTGAAAAAATATTTCAGGTGCGAGGTTCACACCGATGAACGGCTCTCAATTCAAGTCTCAAGGGTAAAGAAGGCTGACTTGTGGCTTTTATCACTCATTTTGTATAATTTTTGTGAAAATCTCATTTTGGCATGTAAATATAAAAGAATTGTAATTGAACTCATATAGACTGTTTTAATATAAAAAAAAATTGCATGTGGTTATATGAATATGGATAAATGGACCCGGTGTGGTTAGTGTTTACTTATAAATAGACCTGATGTGATAAATATTTATTTATAAATAGACTCGGCATGATTAATGTAGTATAATTGTACAGATTGTGTATTGAGTAGAGCTCCCCGTATAAAGGAAACTTTATCTGAATTTTGTTAAATTAAAGACCCCCAGTTTTTGGGGCGTCACAGTATCGACACCCACTTTTTGGTACGGTACCGAAAAAAAAATGAACGATTGATATATAATGAACTTCCACCGTTGATCAAGTCTAACATTTTTTACCGGCTACCCACTGAGCTTTACACATTCATAAAAAAAAAAAAAAAATCAGACGAAGAAGAAGAAGATGACGTTGCAGACAACAAAATCGTACTATCATTATCCTCTCCTCTCCTCTCCTCTCCTTTGTGTCTCTCTCAAGTGACACAGTTCCAGGATTCATCAGTTATCATTGAACAAAGTTTAATCATAAGTAAAATAATAAGTAAAATCCATTACTAATTCACCATCTCTTAAAGGATGTTCCAAAAAATATCTTGATTTTTGAAGTGTCAGGAAAAGCCTTAACAGTGAGCAATGCAGAATGCATAGCCATTACTCTATCCTTAAGATTGTTGTATAAAAGTGTGGTATGGATGTAGGATGTAGTAAAACGAACAATAAGCAGTAAATATGAGAACAAAAGGCAGAGTACTTATCAACTAAGATGTGAGAGGTCACTGCCCTTAAGGATAAATTTCACCCCTCGGGAAATTAGTTTCTGTGCAGCAAATAAATGGCACTTACCCTCCAGGACACAATAATTGCTTCTCACAAACTCGCACTCGTAATGTGAAAAGCTAGGAATAGCCATAACTTTAACAACCCAAAACTTAGAACGAGTGCAGAGAAAGAGAAAAAGGGAGAGAGAGAAGAATAGGGAGATGGTGAATTAGTGAAAAGCAGAGAAGAACTCTGATGGGACAAGGTCTCAATTTATAGGGAGGGAAAACAGAAAGGGAAAAAAATTAGCAGAACTAATTATGCTATAACGACTAATAATTGATTGCATAATAAACATGTGGGTCAAATCAATTGGTCACTGATCAAGGAAAATAATTTCGGGATTAATTATTTGAAAATAAAAAAAAAATGTGAAAAAAATGGTCAAAGTGGCAAAACTCGGGTTCAATCATGCACACCCACGAGGCCCAAATTCGGGGATTAGCATCCCCCCCCCCCCCATGCTCGAGTTGTCTGCAACGCACCCGATTAATTGGTTTTTGAAAAGATTTCTCTAAATTCTTTGGGCCTCCACTTGGCCTCATTCGCATGAGAGTACCACTATATCCTATCTCACAATTACTAAGTCCTTATAGTGCAATAAAATGTAAAGTGAAACTTTTTTTGCTGTTTAGTTAATGTGGGATAGAAATAAAGTGGAATAATGACTATCGAATGTTCAACTCGAATGAGTACAAAGACAAGGGACTTTTATCTTTTGAAATACACTTCGTTAACTCGAGATTTACAACAAGCTATGAGGACGAGCCATCGTTGGTTTGTCTAGAAACTTTATGCGATGATCTTCTAAGCATTTTAGTTTAGGGTTTACATTGTGAAGTCTTACTATATACATATATGTGTATATGCTGGTGTACCACTAGGTCTCATTGATATGACTCATCTGAAACTCTGATGAAGTAAAGATTTTATGTGACATTGATAAAACGATATATCACCCATATCACTCTTAAACTCTGACAGCACTACGATGACTCAACTCTACTAAGTCTAATAACTTTCTGATATGATTTAAAATTGACATGTCTCGTCACTGATGATACTACTAAAGTGAGACATCACATATAACATTGACAATACTAAGATGACTGAATACTACAATGTCCGATAAATTTTCGGCATGATTTAATTTTGAGTAGACTTATCATGATGACACTAATAAACATAACTCATTGTTATTGGTGCAGGTCTCATTCATTAGACTTGTGCATGTATGAAGTACAAACCTTTAATAACATAGACAATTTAAGTATAAATTATTTGGAATGAAAATTTATATTAAGACAAAAAATGAACTAATTTTATAGATTTTCACCCCAAAAAATAATGAATATAAATTTTCTATGTGAGTGAGTGAAATACAACTATAAAAACCCCCAAAATATTTAGAAAATTTTAAATCAAAGCTCATATGAAGGAGTAATTTTGGACCCAAAAAAATTAGATATTAATTTGAATTATTAAAATTTAAGCCCTAAAAATTTGAATCATATCTAAAATACAAAAAAAAGGACTATTAAACTAAAGTGGTAAAATTTATGAAAGCCTCTAAAATTTGGGCTTAACCAAGTAGAGAATAATTTTGGACCTAATAAAATTAGATACTGATTTGAATTAATAAAATTTGGGCTCTAGAAATTTTAATATCTAAAATATAAAATAAAACATAAAAAATTAGACCTACTATACTAAAGGGATAAATATTATGAGGGCCTTTAAAATTTAGGGCCCTAAACAAACAACTTAGTTGCCTAAAGGTTGGGCCGGCCCTGCCGCTTGAAGTCAGCTAACTACTGATTCATAGTCTCATCACATATTTCTTCGTTTGCATCATCAATAAACATTGATGTGGCACGGGTGCACGAAGTTTTACTAGTTCTGTGTGTAATGCATTGACACGAAATGGTCACTCTTTTTCATAATCCGACATAATACAATTTTAGATTAATATATCGCTCACTTTTATAATCATTGTCCATTTATTTTAACAATTTGTTCGTTGTCATCTACAATTGTTCAAAACTCCTGTTGCACTGGATGTAGACATAACACAAATTATGTATGAATTGGGAAAGTGTTAGAATGATGAATATTCAATCACCCGTGGTGTGGATACGATATTTAGATAGTGGGATGTAGCTTCAGCAGGGAGGAAACATGTAGTAAAGGTAGACAACAAATAAGTGATAAGTCACATCAATTGTAAGATATTTCAGATCTCTCAACTAGCACATTAGTGTTTAGTCACCGTATGTAAAAATAATGACAAAATACTTAGTGTACCAAACATTTTAAGTGCAACTACAAGTCATGAGGGTTAGGTCACATTATCACATCCTTATAAAAATGAGTATGACGATTCAGACATTGATAAATGAAATGTATGAGTCACATGGTTAGTTTGGATACACTTGGCATGGTGTACATTTGTTGCATGTCTTTCTTACAATAAACGTGACAATGCATTATATTATTAGTATTTATTCAACTTATCCACTTAGATAGTCGACACATTTTTCAGACATTTATTATAGTCCACGTACGTTTGAAACAATGAGTTATAATTGGACGCTAGAGGATTAGTTCGTATATCTATTAAATTCTCATTTATTTTACTCAGTGTCATCTATAGTGTTGAACAAGTGGGAATATCGTTTAAAGCAAAAAGAGGTTTTAAGCGAAGATCTACAGATTTACAATGTACGAAGGCTTCTTCAAATCATCATTGTCATGCCCATTGATACTCAACAACTTGAAAGAGAATAATTACGTTTTAGTGCAAAAAACAAACGTATGGTCATTCATTTGAGTCAGTACACCATGTAACACATTATACACGAGCATGTTAAGAAAGGATTAATGGAAGAACCACATACGAGTTTAACGTTGAGTAGGGAACCAAATTGTAATTTCGATGTTGAAATGTCTGACAAAGATGACCTACGACAAAAAAATTAGTGATTCTATTTAAAATTATGTTATTACGTGGACTTAATTGGCAATATGTTAGCAGATAGTACAAAATTCTATTGGTAGTCTTGCTGTAATGGAACAGTGAAAATAAATTTGCAAAACATAATTGTCAGTTAACATTGCCCAAGTACAATAGCATGAAAAATGTAACATAATAAATTACAGTGATACATAGGTTTTGTTCAACAACACAATAAATGTAACAAACTAAACAATATATAAACTGTGACATGGAGGTGGCCGCCTCTTTCACTTTGGTCTTCCCTCAGGCAGATGGGGCTCTTATGTTAGCTGCAACATTCTTCTTTTTTATTTTATGAAACTTCGTCAATACGAGAATAAATTTATTAATAAGGATAAAGAATACACTGTTGGAAGAGGGGGAAGGGGTGGGGACATATACCTTACCCTTATATGAAAGCTAGAAACATTATTTCCTTGGAAAAAAGAAACTAATGCAACTTCTAATTTAAAAAACAGTGTCCTATTTAGATACAAGTATCTTTTTCCTAAAAACTCTTGTTGGTCTTGCAGTAGGGGCTGCAACATTCCAACATCACAATGATGTACATGATGGCCACGACCCCTATCCCGTCTTCTGCCTTGAACTCNTAGGGGCTGCAACATTCCAACATCACAATGATGTACATGATGGCCACGACCCCTATCCCGTCTTCTGCCTTGAACTCTAGGTGCTACTCTTGCACGACCTCTACCTAAATGTGGGGCCTCTTGTGTCGATCTCTCAACAAGAACGTCATCATTTGCTGAATGGGTCACCGGTGGTACAATCGGTGTATGAAACGTATCATCAGCTATGGTGTATCTGTTATAACCTCGACCAATGTTGCAACTCATGTTTCAACTACCAAGCTTGCTAAATACTCCTCATGTAAAGGTGTGTGCAGTGATCTATGTGATAGGCTTGCGGCTAAACAAGAAAAGATCAATGGTGAAACAACTGATGTAATTTTAGATGTCACCATGGGTACAAGTGTCAGAGGTGAAGGAGAATGGACAACAGTAGGAGCAACTGATGTAACTATCACCTCTACTGAAGACTCTTCTTGTAAAGGTGTGTGAAGTGATATATGTCATGGTGATAAAACCCAATGATAAGTTGGTGATGGAACAACTGACGTAACTGTAGATGTCACCATGGGTGCAGATGTCACCACAAGGGGTAGATGTTGTAGATAAAGGGCCAACGAGTGCAGGGGCATGCTCAACAATAGAGGCAGCTGATGTAATTGCCGACAATGGCTGTGAAAGGGTAATAGATGAAAGTGGTGGGCCTGGATTTGAAGTGGAAGCAGTATCCATTGTTGAAAAGGTCTTTCGTGGGCCTCGTGTTGTGGACGTCCGCTGTTGTATACGGATATCACATGGACGCTCAGTAATTGACGCTGCAACTGGTGGCTGCCTAATGTCAGGCGGTCCTGAATAAGACACTGGGGCTCATAAAGTGCCTCCAAACACTTGGAGCTCATATCTTTGAGATGGGCCATAGCCTCCAAGAAAGTAATCAAGTTCAGATGACCCTCAATCGTCTAATGTACAGTGTGATGTGTCCGTGAATGTCTCCTCCTACATAAACATATGAATAAAGTATTACCTGAATATGATGTAATGATGGTAAGATGTAAGCAAATAATTACAAATGTGTACCAGTAACTCAATGACAATACCAACAAGCTGAAACCAACATCAGGCCTGGGAATAGGTTAACTATCAAGACAACGAGTACTGTGTCGAAACCATACCATATATGAATCTGTGGGATCCATCGGACCATGGCTGGACTCTCCCACAATACTATTATCCTGACGCTGGGCTCACCTCTCAATATAGGTCCGATGAAAAGAAATTCAGTCATGTCCTGCCCTGCCACGACGATTAGCATAAACATCCCTACTAGTATCACATGCCCCAAATATACATTGTGTAAAACCATATTGTCGAATAACATGGGTGAGAAATGTCACTAAACCACATCAAAACATGAGGGTGATTGTTTTCTCCACATATCTTGAGCTACAAGGCAATAGTCTCGTAGCCAAGCCAATGCATCAAGTGTATGATTATTACATCATCTGAAACATAAAAGTATCACATAATATGTTAGCACGTGTAAATAAATTTACAAAATTATTTTTCAAACTTTAAAAAAAAAAATGGGCAAAATATCCTCTAAAAACAAGACGTCATAAAAATATCAACTTGTTTACTTAGTTTACATATAACATAATATGAGCCCAAATGACACCGTAATGAATCATAAATACAACAATGTGCAAACAACCACAACAACATAAACACACGAAAAATGCAAACACAAACCATTAAATCTAGCACACACAGTAATAAATTTATCCAACAATTATACCGCTATTTATCTAAAAAAAATTCGGCAAAATTCCATCAAAAAATAGGACAACCAAATCTAAAAACCTGTCAAACCACCAACCACCATAATCATTTTCAATCCACCACAAAATACTAAAGAGGCTATTACAAACCTCCACAATAACGTTAACACACGAAAAGTGCAAACACAACCCATTAAATCCAACAAACATAGAAATAAAGCATCTATATTTATGTTAAGAAAATAGACAATTTCCCTAAACAATGACCGCAGAAAAATAAAAAACTACTTTCAAACCACCACAACATACTACTAGGCGGTTACAAACCACCACCACTACAAAATCCCGCGAACATAAACCATAACAAAAACTAAANTTTCCCTAAACAATGACCGCAGAAAAATAAAAAACTACTTTCAAACCACCACAACATACTACTAGGCGGTTACAAACCACCACCACTACAAAATCCCGCGAACATAAACCATAACAAAAACTAAAATCGAGTTCAAATATCACATGAACATTCATTCATAACAAATGTTTTTGAATTATACCTGCTCATTTGTTATTTTGTCAAGTTGATATCTGTAATGTCGTAGAACATGTTTNAAATCGAGTTCAAATATCACATGAACATTCATTCATAACAAATGTTTTTGAATTATCCCTGCTCATTTGTTATTTTGTCAAGTTGATATCTGTAATGTCGTAGAACATGTTTGGGGTTGTCTTGCTCTGAAAATGTCACATCCCAAATGCAACAAAAAATAAAAAAACACAATCCAATCAAGGACATAATTGCATTTCAAATGACATGAAAAAAAAAAAAAAAAAATACCAGTATATGGTATGATTTGTTCACTTACCTACACCCTAGAGGACGTGCAAGTAACGCCTCGTCAACATCTACCTGCTCTCCAACATCTGCTGCAATATGTGGAGCAGCCTCATCCGGATGTACCTCACCTAAATCTTCTTCAACATGTGGTGCGTACTGACGTGGGGTGCTCTCATGCCCACTACAGAAATGAGATACATATTATTAACAAATATTACATGTCAAGTTCAAATAGGTTTATAAATTACTTAAAATTGATATGAAGGACGTATACATATTATTAGCAGCATAACAAAAAGGCCACTAATGTCTTTAGCATAATATCTAGTCGTGACGCACATCTCACAGTATAGTCTCGCCAATGTTGCGCAGTCCTAACTATACCTTTATGCAGCATTAAGATCCGCGAGCAAAAGAAGGCACATGAGCTTAATCTTACTCGATGACTTATCTAAAAAAAAAATCCAATCAATTGCATGATGTATGATAGGCAATGAAATGCTCGGTTGCATCAACATCTATCCCCTTCTCCAATTGTCCCTCAACGAACTGAGCCTTGAATGTGGATCGGTCTATAGCTCCCTCTCCAAGGGTAGCCCGAGCAATATAGTTATATCCTACAGAGTGATGGTAGCCTCACCTACTGGGTGGAACGAGTGCATCTCAACACCACCACCTTTCCACAAGAGCAATGAGGAGATATCAATTGAGCTACATGTCCCCGATCTGATGCACACCTGAAACAACAGTTGTAAATAGATATCTAAGCACCCAATGATTAGTGACATGCAAGCAACGAAGCAAGCATTCACTGCATCTNAGCAATGAGGAGATATCAATTGAGCTACATGTCCCCGATCTGATGCACACCTGAAAAACCAGTTGTAAATAGATATCTAAGCACCCAACGATTAGTGACATGCAAGCAACGAAGCAAGCATTCACTGCATCTACAATGCAATGGGTGGAGACCACGGCCTTGCTAGATATCCTAACGATGGTGGGCCTATAAAGATAACACATATGGATCATCCTGTTCGGGCTACACTAATTGATGGGGATCGTGTAGGAATTGGATATATGTTATAGATTAGTTATGAGAGTTATTTAGATAATTTGGATATTATTGAATACTAATATTGCTTCCTCCTCAAATTATTTCTCTTTTTTCATCTCTTTCTTCTTTTCTTCTCATCTCTAATTCTTCCCTTCCTAATCTACATCACTAATGCNCACATATGGATCATCCTGTTCGGGCTACACTAATTGATGGGGATCGTGTAGGAATTAGATATATGTTATAGATTAGTTATGAGAGTTATTTAGATAATTTGGTTATTATTGAATACTAATATTGCTTCCTCCTCAAATTATTTCTCTTTTTTCATCCCTTTCTTCTTTTCTTCTCATCTCTAATTCTTCCCTTCCTAATCTACATCACTAATGCTCTCAGATCCGGCTCTATTCTTAGAACCTAAATCTGCAAATGAAGTCAACAGAACATTAATTACCCATTTTTTGCATCAAATATAAATAACTATCAAGCAAGTGCAATCAAAAAAATTTCAAACCAACTTGTTTAATTATAGATGCAAGTAGTGATACACTAAAAAATAACAAAAAGACACACAAAGATGAGTATGTGCGGTTCATTGCAAACTTTGATACAATCAAGTCAAAATGACATAAAATAACTAAGTACTTATAGTTGATTACCCAATGTTGAAGCTTGTAGGTTTTTCGATGGATAAGGTTCATTACAAACTTTGATACAAGCAAGTCAAAATGACAAAATAAAAAACTATAATTGATGACTAAATGCTAAATTCATACGTTTTTCGATGGAAATTTTCAACAATTGTGTCCCAATTGCGTATGCACATCTTTGAATGACCTAAAACTACTCGACAAAGCTCAGGATCAAGTTATAAAGTGGGGCATTCATGATCATCCCAATAATCTTGATGGTAGAGAGGATGAAATTCAGGTGCACTAGGGTTCTCTAACGAACGCATGCTATATACACTAGATCTATAAACTTCATAAAGTCCAATCTGAAATGCGAACAAGCAGTCAACACATGAGAAAAGGCATTCGAAATATGACCCATTTTTCGAAGGTGCACAAACACCCGTCAATACAAACGTGTATTACCCTTCATCATCACCACTTTGACAAGTCTACACTGCGTTTGAAATGTCCTCAACTCGAGCCAACCTTTCGCTAGGAATGTGCTACAATCTTAATGGCATAACTAGAGAACACCATACCATTTTTGGTTCGACAAGTCCATGCTACATGTGAAATGGCCTCAACTCATGCCTAGCCTTTTGCTGGGAACATGATACAATCTCGATGGCATAACTAGAGAATGCCATACCATTTTCACAGCATTTTACTCTGCATCTCGGTTATCATAAAAGTATTTGGTGACCCGAAAGAGTATCGATTGCACATAAGCAGTGATGGGCATAAAGCTTTGCACCTCGGAGTGCACTATAGAAAACCTCCTAAATGTTGGTTGTTATCATGTCATATCATCATCTGTCATCATGGGCTAGTGTCCACTGGTGTATTGAAATCTTGTTCAAGTACTCCCACGCTTCCCCATTAAGTGTCCTTATCTCCTACATCAAAAGATTGAACTTGCAGATTTGCCACACTTTCCCAGCCCTCTATACAAGCTTCTTCAAGTACTCATCCTTAAACTTAAAATTCTCCGCACACGACTATGATAGAACTGGTCAATGTTATAAGGCGTAAAACAAATCGAAGCGAACCGATCTCCTGAGGGTCTAAGTGAGAAATGAGAAACGAAGCGAGCGCTTCATTGAAGCAAAGCNCCTCTATACAAGCTTCTTCAAGTACTCATCCTTAAACTTAAAATTCTCCGCACACGTCTATGATAGAACTGGTCAATGTTATAAGGCGTAAAACGAATCGAAGCGAACCGATCTCCTGAGGGTCTAAGTGAGAAATGAGAAGCGAAGCGAGCGCTTCATTGAAGCAAAGCGAATGATTTAAAAAATAAGCAAATATTTTAGTTTAATACTTTGATTACTCTAAATATTCAAGTTTTAACTTTACAAATATAAAATTATTTAAATATAATCAAAGTAATAAACATCAACATATTTTAAATATANTTTAAAAAATAAGCAAATATTTTAGTTTAATACTTTGATTACTCTAAATATTCAAGTTTTAACTTTACAAATATAAAATTATTTAAATATAATCAAAATAATAAACTTCAACATATTTTAAATATACAAAATATTAAATATTGAACATTATTGTATTCTAAAAATAATCAATTGACATAATCACGTCATTTAAATATAAAATTAGCAAATGTGAGTTCAACTTCTACCATGATTGATTAATATCACCACTAAACAAAGCACTCACAAATTGATTAATCAAATAGAATATATAGCAAATTAATTAATCAATTTGATTAACCAAGAAAATTGATTAACAAGAGCATTTACATCAAAACAAAGCATTCAACATTATCTAATCTTAGTAAGACAGATTGTCATATGCTACTGTTATATGAATCAATCAATTTATTTTATACATATACACATATAACTCCATCTCTGCTAAAGTTTGGTTAATGTTAAAGAAGGAGGAGGAGAAAATAAAAAAACTGCAGTTAGGCATTCGCTTTTCTCGCCTGGCTCGCTTCTTTGCTTTGTCGCCTAAGCTCACTTTTTCCTCTCTTTACTTGACCTCGGTTCAACGCGACCAAGGCTCGCTTTGCTTCGCTTCTCGCCTAGGCGAGTTTTTCACAACACTGGAACTAGTGATAAGTATTTGACTCAGTCCACCCAGAATCTTCTTCATTCACCGTAGCAATTCTACATTTATGCCAATCCAA